GTATTTTAATATAATCACTTTAGCACCTCATAATGCATGGATTGTAGCATATTTGGGGTTGAAAAGATCACATTTGGCTATTCACCCGTGGGTTGCAAGCAGCCTAATGGCCTCAATTTCTAAAATTCAATAGAGCGATTCTAATCCCCATTAATTTCCTTTTCCTTTGTTTCGAACACAATTTTGATTGTCAAGAAATCCGATTTGATTCATGCAGTCTACTTTAAAAGTGATTCTGGAATCGGCTGATATGATTTTTGAGTGTGAAATACTTTGGGTCATTAAGAGCCCGTTTGGTAGCTCTTAAAATAAAATAAAGCATTTTAATAAATGAATACATCTCAAAGCATTTTATCCAAAATTTTGAAGGATAATAGATTTAGAAGGATAAAAAATAATTTTGACAAGGGAGAAGCAAAATAAATACTTATTAAAAATTGAAATCTTCACAGCAAAGGAATCTTCTTCTTTTTGGTTGTCCTGACAATGGCACGACACATGAACATATTCTAGCTCTCCTCTTTAACTTTCTGCCTATCTCTTCTCCCCCACCTTTTATCTTCAACAATCAACATCTTCCTCTCCTCTTACTATTAAGGGCTTTTTTATATGTCCGTGGACACATTGTAAACAACCATCAAGTGCTTCTTTTTACATTATCATAACACTAATGATGATGTGAAAAAACAAAAACAAAGGTAGTTTAAAATTTAACATGAGGATCACAAAAACAAAAAGTGTTTCTTTTTACTATTATCACTATATTCCATCCCTACATGAAATAAGTTCTATGATCACTGTCCTTCCACAGTGAAATTCTCATTTCTAAATATTTTTTAATAGTAAATGTTACGGAGAACTAACTATCCTTACCTTATACTTACAATTTCTTACCATCTCCGTTCTATAAAATTCTTACAATTTTCCATTTTACAATGTCCCAAATTTTTTCTCCACTTACCATTTTTGGAAAGTTTTGTGTGACTCACGTTCACTTAAGTTTGCTCGGTAAATTATCAGATGCATGTGCTCTTTTATGGGTCACACTCCTGTCTACCTATCTTAGTTTATTTATATATATAGCTCAATCCCCCCTCTCTCGCTATATGTGAAATGGCCTTTGCAGGGTTTCTCTTCTACTTGTTCCTGTGGATTCTTCTTCTTCATCATCTTTCATGCTCTTCAGCTGGTAAGTTACTGTAACTTCATCACTATACCTTCTTCTCTCTGTTAATTGAATCCAAGAATTGCATATGAAATCCGAATCATGATAATCGAAAACTAGGCCGGTGTTTGCAATATTCTTTTCTTAATTATGCCAAGTTACTTTTCCGAATTGCGTGTGGCCCATGAAAAAGAAGAACACAGTACAGTCGTTAAGCTGTGACATGAACAACACATGCATTAGTTCTAGCTTTATTGGTCAAATATACCATGAAAAACATCTGAAAATATGGTTGAAATGCAAGCTGGGTAAAAATTTTGATTTTTTTATACGGACTAATATAGTTTATTAATAAATTAAAGGAAGCATTCTTACCTTTTTATCACTAATCAACCCATTGTGACAAAAAAAAAAACATGACTCGCATAAGCCATAAAACACACTTACCTGTAGGTACACTAAGATGTAATGACTCATCAACTTCTGCACTAATGAGATAGCTAAAGAGGGTTTCAACTCAAATACATAGTATCTATCAGCTACTACTCCGTCCGAAATGAATTTCCAATTTGTAGAGTTTAATACAGTCCAAAGATGAAATCAATTGTCTTTAATAATATGTATGTGTATGTGTTTCTAGCAAGAACTTATGTATTTAGGAAATGCAATAATAAAAGTTTAATTGAAGGGTAAGTTTGAATTTGAATGTGATAAAAAGTTGCTATTAAAATTTCAAAATCAGAAAATGTGAAAGAGCTGGAATGGAGGATGAATATGAGGTATTTGAATCCACTTCTTGTGAGGGGGGATAACTTCTGAGGGGGATAAAATTCTGATTTTAATTTTTAAAAATTTCTTATGGTTCATTTCCCTTTTTTTTTTTTTTTTTGTTTTTTTGCCCAATTGTAAAGGAAACCAAACCGAGATCTGTTGTTAATGGGGATGGAGTTCAAGTATAAAAATAAAATGTATTATTTGTAAATGGCAGATCAGTTTTTACCTACAAATCCAGTCACAACACCAGCGGGGACCGCAACATATCCACCGGCCATAATCACAGTGCCGGCGGCAACGACGACCACCGCCCCTTGGCTGCAGAGCCCCAACTTTTATAATCCGGTGACGACAACGCCCCCTACCAATCCGGTGGGGGGCCAGAGCTGGTGCGTCGCAAAAAGTGGAGCGCCGGACTATTCGCTTCAGACAGCGCTGGATTATGCGTGCGGGCCCACCGGAGGCGTGGACTGTTCTTCCATTCAGCAGGGTGGGAGCTGTTACAACCCCAATTCTCTGCCCAGTCATGCCTCCTACGCCTTTAACCTCTATTACCAGAAGAATCCGTCCTTGCCAACTCGCTGCGATTTCGCCGGAGCTGCCACCATTACCACTACAAATCCAAGTAAGCACAGCCGCCGCCACATTATCATCACACCTATCATTTAACTTCTAAGCTTTTGGTGAAACACATTTTTTCAATGTATACCTAACTAAAAAAATTGATCTGTCCTTCAAATGTTACTTTCAAAATGGAAAGATAATGTCCCAAAATCAAGAAAAAGTATTCTTCTCATATTGGATAATCCTGGCTTAGTTTGAACGCGTCTAGTTGAAATAAGGAAACAAACGCGTACATATACATGTATGCAACAAAGAGATACAAAGGGAGTTGCAGTTACTGTACGCGTATATTTACACACTGGATCAATGTTTTGAAACTGTATGCACTTTCCAACCACCACTGATCAGTTAATTGATTGGTAGTTGATCATGGTTGATTGGTGGTTGTTTTTTATGACATTTATGTCACAGATTAAGAATTTACATTTCTGGTAAATGATACTCCTGTTTAAATAATATTACCTTTGTCTCACTATTGTTTGGTCTACACAGGCTCAGGCAGTTGTGTGTACCCACTATCATCTGGATCATCAATTTCATCTCCTTCACCAGTGACACAATATCCAACACCACCATCCATAACTCCATCAATTCCAATTCCCATTCCAACACCAACACAAACAACTCCGACGTATACGCCAGCTGGAGTGCCTCTGTAAGTGACAATTTCTTTCTTTGTCTTCTTCCTTTTGAACACATACAGCAGCAGAACACGTTTACCATTGATTTATATAATTTTGCATGCAGCTCTGGATTGTTTCCGCCAATGCTTTCAAACATAACGAATCCCACTACTATGACTACGGGAGGGCAAATGCCTGGCATGGGAGATGGTGGTATTTCTCCTCTTGGAAACACGTCAAATATATCCATCTCCATCGCCCTCCAACCCTTTATTGGCTCCATCTTTCTGGTCTTCTCCATCTACATTGGGATACTTCGCTTGTTCTGAAAATCTGATCGAGGAAATTAAGAATCTTTGCTCCAATGTGACAACCATGATTTTGGCTCTCAACATCTATATGTACAGACAGTTCTTTTGGGTTAGAGATCAGACATAATCAGATCCTTATATTGTTTGGGTGCGTTATGACTGCTTATGAAATATATATAAATATAGTTTGTGTGTAGATTTATGGATTAATTTTATGCAGGAGGAGTTATGTAAATCAAATTCTTAACTCATTTCTCTCTGATTAGGAAAAACATATACTGTGTTGTTTTACTTTTCGTTTTCTCATTTGTAGTTTGTTTGTTTTCATTTCTGTATTCCAATGCTACACCTGTGATGTAGAAGCTGCTAATAGGGGTAGTTGTTAAATGTAAACAATTTGTAATTGGGTCCAAGTAACAAAACTAGATGATGAAGTTAGTTTATATTAAGATGTTTTTACTTGGACTGAAATTTGTTAGTTTGGTCTGGTCTGTTGAAGTATTTCCATCATTTGCAATAGAGCCAAAGATTCATTATTTTTTGGCTTGAGATTATGATGGAATAAAGCAAAATGGCTCACTAAACTGTCTGCGTTTCTTTGTTATGAAGCAGCAGTCAGTCCATGCAATTTTGGACGGGATTTTCACTATGGATCATCCGGAAACAGTCTCTCCGTACAAGGGTAAGACTGCGTACATCCGACCCCCCTTACTCCACCGTAGGTGGGAGCTTTTGCGGTACTGGGGTAAATGAAAATGATGATGAAAATGATGAATGGTCTGGTCTGTTGAAGTCTAATCTGAACTGGTCTGGTCTAGTAAATGTTTGGTCTATGTGCATTTTATAATTATTGAAGTCCAATTTGGTCCGATATGTTTAAGTATGGTCTAGGATTAGAAACTGTCCAAGTAAAAACATCCTTAATGTACCACCATTTTCTGCTTTCCTTTAGCCACTAATTTTATGTACCATTTTTTATCATACTCGAATTTTGTTTTGACTGTAATATTTTTTTTGGTATACTTTCTAAAAATTTGTAATACGGAGTTTTAATTAGTAATATTAATTTAATGTAGGACTAATTAACTATACCGTCAAGGCAATGCTGCCCTCATTACTAGGGGCAGACACAGTCCTGGTTCTAGAACCAAACAGGACCTCAGGACCAGCTGGATCTTTGTTTGGAGACCGAACTGATTTTTGAAATCAGGGCCAGTACTGAATACCGGTCAAAATCAATCTCCAGAACTTTAAAATAGGATCACACCGATTCCAGGTTGTTTTAAATGGGTCATTTAAACAGTCTATAACCAACCCGCGAACCAGAGCTGGGACAAAACCATTAACCATGTATACAAAGTTAGGTTACCCTTTGTGAGATCCAAAACTGAACCAGGTAGATCCCTGGTTACAGGTGACCCTAATACAATATTCAAAAGCAAAAAAAGTGCCTATCATTCTGTTTGTGAGGGCACCTTTCTTCAACAGACAAGAAAAGTGCATCATCAGTCACCCTATGATATACTCTAATAATAGCAACAGTTCTGAATGTTAACAATTGTAAAGCTGTAGATGAAGATTCAAGAACCTCATCTAATAAATTCCTCGTCACTAATCGCTGTCATTACAACAACTATCTAATCCAAATTAAATCTTGCTGAGGACTAAATTATCTCTGATATACATACCTACAAGCTTAGCGCTTTATACAATATTGCTCCTGCACAGACCTAATCAGTGCCCTCAAGTGTAACTTTCTAGCTACATGCAGCATTTGAGCAAACGTCATTTACACATGAACACAAGAAGGCCAACTATCGCTTAGTGAAGAGTACCAAAACCAACATCGACATTGAGACCACAATCTTGAAACCCGATTTTTCCCAGAAATTTGGATTCTCATTGCTTGAAGTTCCATTTTGTTTACTCGCTAGTTTGTCTCTGATTTCCTTAAGGGCTTCATCTTGTCGTTCTCCCATCTGCAACCAAAAGATTACTAAACATAACAACTTACAGAACACCTTTTTTATGCTCCATGCTGTAAAATCACCACTAGACTCACCCCATTAGGTAATAGACCAAGGCCTAGCATCTAGAGTTGGGATTGATTGAGACCAGGAGAGAGTTATGAGGAATTGGAAAGGTCTAAGAAGGAAAGAATAATGACAACCAATAAGCACCTATAATAATATTTGACCTTGAATCCTAAAAGTTAAGGATGAATAGAAAACGGTCTTGTATGTCAATTTGCACTTTTATATTTTTTAACTTAAAGTTGGATGAATTAAACATGTTTAACAAGATAATGATTCAATGGAGTGAACCAGCCTTGTAATCCATGTGTATGCTTGTTAGGCTTACCATAGTTGACTTGTTTGTTTGCCCTTTATGAGTTCTGGTACTATATCATGACTACGACTTCAATCCTAAAAGATCAAACCTAATGGGAGGGCAGCCAACAAACTAGCAGCTTGATTGGAGTTTCTTTACACTGAGTACATGTAAATATGTAATGAGCATTGTTAACAAACAATGTGGATTACCATCCGAAGCTTAGCACGAGCCTCTTGGACACAGAATTCCAGCTTTGAGACCCTCTTCTTCAACTGTTGATCTGCTCTTTGGCGCTTTTCTAACTATTTGACAACCAAAGAAAAGAAGTCTGAGTCACTAGTAAAGCTGGATTGAACTTTTCGGGGAGAGAAATCAGAAGAGATGTGTACGAGACCTGGGACTCCAACTCCTTTGTTTTTAGCTCCCAATGAGCAGACATGGTCTTGATATCATCTCTCATCTTTGCTATCTCCTGATCTTTAACACTCAAAAGCTCTACGATCTTCTTAAAGCGAATTGGTGAAACCTCCTCATCAAGTTCTTTGGCGAATGCCTGCCTGATATCATTTTCGATCCTCAAAACCTGATGTTTCAGTTGCATTTGGGAAGATGCCCGTGCTTGAAGATCTTTTTGCAACAGACTTAATTGCTCCTTAAGTTTACTTATGCAATCTTCATGTTCCTTCAATGAATTGCTTTTCTCATTCAACTCCTTGATGAGTGCCAAACACTGAATTTGCACAGCTTGTGCTGTTTCTGCACTTGCATCTGCAGTTGCTTGTGTGGCTGAAAGTTTACATCTGAGATCTTCCACCTCTCTCAGATACTGCATGAATTAAATAATAATAAGTTTAATGTTAATTGTTAACTATTAACATGCCCATCCAATGCACCAAGTTTTGATACTTTGGCAAGTACACATTTTTATACCATTTTCACCATGGTATTGATCATACTATCTTAAAAGAACTCCTTGTTTAGTACACATCTTTTGGCATACAAGCTAGATTTTTCACAAAACACTAACTAATCTTAACGAACTGGCTCAAAAGAGTTTTTTTTTTTGGCTGAAGTTGGTGAAAATGACATTTCAAACCTCTTTTAGATTTTTTAAATATATGTTAAGTAACATTAAATAATTGAACATATTTAACTAACTCATTCATTTTTAACCATAATTTTAGCAAATGTAGCCGCTTCAGTGGTTTTAGGATATACCATCTCATTCTAAGATTATGATAATAGAGCTCACACAGTCACACCCCCGCCCACCCACCAAAAAAAACAAGGGCCTGTTTATGACAGCGAGTTAATACCCAAGAACAAGAATTTCAGCACCCCCTCCAAATTAGATCTTATGTCGATATTTGGGATAAGAAAAAATGTAAATTCATTCTCGGGTTTTCAATAGGAGGTAGCATGTGATGCCACACCAATATACCAAGGGATCTGCCTAGTTCTTGAGAATGGGGTGAATCCTACCATTTATCTCAGTAGTTAACTTGCTACTCCCAAATTAATCCAAACGAGGAGGAAGACATCCAGGTGAAAAAATCTCAAAAGAACATGTGATGTGCTTTATAACATGTTGTTGTTGATAAATCCACATCATGGCAATCACCACAACATGTGTGTTTGATGGCTGAGGAGGTATCCTCTATGTAAAAGAATGTAACTTTTATACGGAGTACAAGGAAATTTTGTTCAATGTCACTAGTCAAGTTTGGAAAAGAGAGAAGTTAAAGATTTATGTGTAAAACCACCTAACCAAATATCATAAACTAAAATGGGAAGGCATTCATTGTTAGGGACTTAGGGTTGACCATTCATAAGAAAGAAACAAATTATGTTTGAACTACTTAACACGTAGACAAATCATAGAAACGTTCAAATAAAAAATGGCACAAAAGACAATATACACAGTACACACTAATAGCTGTCCATCAACTCCATCTTCCCAAAAGAACAAACACCAAATGCCAAAAAAGGCGAAAAAGATTTGAAAAGATTTTAAATGACTTTGTAAAGGGTCCTAAACTAAATCTAGTCACTCACATAAACAAGACAATTCCATGAAAAACTTGCTAAGATCCACGATTGAACTCCCAGTTTTCAAGATTTAGAGGCATTAATCAGTAGATTTTTTTAAAGAGAGGTTAGCACAATCCAGGCAGAGAAACAACACCTTCTCAGCAGTGGAAGTGGAAGCTTGAATCTGCCAATTTTTCTGCTCTAAATTCTTTTGCAATATGTTTATTTCTTCTTCCATTTTCTTCGCCCTGCTTTCTGCTTCCTGTAAACTCAAATAACAATAAATAAATAAAATGAGATTAAACTGCACATTTGAAGAACGACGCAAACACCACACAACCTGTCGTGTTAGGGTTTCGCGAGCAAAGCTCTGTGCTTGAGACGCAAGGCGGCCACGCACCTCCTTTAGCTCCGCCGCCAGTGACACCACGCTCCGCCGGAAACTCTGCTTCTTCTCACTCAGATCCTTCAACAGCGGATCCACCTCTCTGGAAGCCGATAACACCAAGGCTGACGATGAAGACGACGTGGGAGGCGGCCGGTCCGTCAGAGACATCGCCGGGAACTAAGGATATCGCTGAATCAACGGCAGAAATTAATTCACTTGGACTCTCACTTGTGACAGGCCAGAAATGAAAGCTGACCAACTCACCACCCTCTGCATGTGAACGCGGTAGTTAGGCATTCAATTCGCTGACCCAAAAACCTCATTCTGTATCCAAATTCAAACCTTTTTAATTCACGTTTGAAATGGGGGAAGATTAATCAATCTTCTCCTCTCTTTGCCACAAACCCGAACTCAAAATTGGAGGAAAGGAAAACTGAAAACAGGGATTCAAAAGCGGGAAACAGAAAACATGTGAAATAAAACGAAAAATCAAGCTTTTCAGAAATTTTAAGAAAAAGAAAGTTCAGATAATGCCTACAAAGGCTGTAACTTACGGTTTCTAGCAAGACACGAGAATCATGTTTACGAGAGAAAGCTGTAAATATGGGTATAAAAGGGAAAGGGAGACGGAGGTCATGCGTTGATGGGAGACGGCATTCCGGCGAAGATTGATCTGAGACAGCTCACCGGACGGCGGAGAATTTGGTGACGAGCAATTAATGCTGCGTCTCACTCTGGCTGGCTAATGGTGATTATTGCTGACTTGTGAGCCGGGAATTCCTGGCTCGGTTTGGTTCGGAAACACCGAGCCTCGGCCTTTGAGAAAGTGACAATTTTCGAAGCTGGCTTTGGAATTACCTCAGCGCGGCAAATCTAAAATCTTACGCTGGAACAAGGGATTCGCCTACGTGGAGAGCATTTAACCGCTGGATCATCTTGTGATTATAATACGACCTCCGTCCCTTAAAACTTTGCCAACTTTCCTTTTTTGGATGTCTCACTAACTTTGCCACTTTCCCATTTAAGTAAAGAATTTGTGGTTTCATTTAATTCTCTCTCCTCTCCACAAACTTCAACCACATGGTTTTTACTTTATAATTCCCGTGCCGGTCAAACTTGGCAAAGTTTTAAGGAACGGAGGAAGTATAATATATGCGATGTAACGGCCAATATGCTAATTTAGGAATTTTAGGTTGTCTTGTTTATATTTTTGTTAGAAGGTTTAATGCACCAAACCTTTTTATGAAATATAAATTGGGCTTTTTACTTGAATATTACTAATTTAAAGTCAATTTCCAAAAATGTGACCACTTTTATAAAAGGACAAAAATGTGACCAACAAAGTCATATATATAGAAAAACATTGTCTGCCAGATTTTTATATCACTGTTAAATTTTTATGTCACTGATTCTATGTTACTTTTGAATGTCACTATCGGTTTTCGTGTCACTTTTAAATGTCACTATCGTTTTCATTTCACTTTTATATGTCACTTCCGCCGTCAAACATGTCATTGTGTTGTTAACCATGTCACTATGCCGTTGTCGGCTACTTTTTCCGGTGAAAATGACATCTACCGCCAGAGTGACACGCCGACTCCGGTCACTTTGCCCCATTCTTAACCAGCTCCTCACAGCTCCGTCACCAGCCTACCCCGCCCCCGCAACATCGCCGTATACCGCGGTTGTCAACCGCCGCCCCCCGCAACATCCCGGCTGCCGCCATCTTCCCCCCTCCTCAGACCCCTGCCCCCTCACTAGCCCCCTCCCCTGCGCACCAGCCCCCTCCCCTACGCCCCAGCCCTCCCTGCGCACCAGCCCCCCAGCGCACCAGCCCCCCGCGCACCATGTAATACTTGAGATTTAATTTAAACGGATTAATAGTACTACTCATACCAACAAGATGCATCTCCTTTTAAGAGAGTTCATCACCTAAGAACTCCAAAAGTTAAGCGTGCTTGCACGAGATTACTCTTGGGATGGGTGACCCCCTGGGAAGTTTCTTAGTGGGCACCAGCTCCCCTCCCATGTGAACCAGTCCCCTCCCCTGCGCACCAGCCCCTCCCCTACGCCCCAGCTCCCTCCCCTGTGCACCAACCCCCTCCCCTGCGCACCAGCCCCCCATACATTGCGCATCAGCCTCCACGTTGTAGCTTCCAGCCTTGCCCAAGCCATTTCCCTACCCTTATCGCACCTGCCCTGCCTCCGGCTTGACTCCCCGGCCTCCAACCACCCCACCACCCCCCTCTAATCCTCCACCCACCTCCTACTCTCCCAGCCACCCCCTCCCCAGCCCCAAGCCCCACCACCATCTCCTCACCCCATCTCTTTGGCCCCAACCTCATCTCCCATGCCCTGTCACTCAAATCACCAATGTCTTTTTTCTAAATCGGGGTCTTCATCCTTCAAGACGGCATATCCGACACCGAGGAAGGAGGATCCACAACTTTCGGCCTCAAGCCCTCAAATCAGAGTCTTCGTCCATGGGAGGGGCGGCCAGCGAGGGCAACGGAGAAGCTAGGCCTCTAATCGGAGTTTTCGTCCATGCTGCTACTGTCGACGAAGTTGAGGGCGGAGGTTAAAATCCTACCATCGACGAAGGTAGATTACGCCGGAGATGGAGGCTGTAAGGTTGATTGCGAAGGAAGCTGCAAGGTCAATCGCGATGGAAGCTTGGCGGAAGACAGAAGATGAAGTAGGCTGAGTGCATCAACAAATGAGCGGAAGAAGGGATGGGGGTTTAATTGTGCGGTCACTTTTTTGTCAGATCGGATTTCAGTCGTATTTTTGTCCGATCAAAGTGGAGGAGTAATATTTAGGCCATTATTTCATATAAATTTGGCGCATGAACTCTTTGAGATTTAAAATATGCGTCAAACTCTCATTTGATTTAATTATTCATGCGCAAAACCCTTTCCAAGAACAAATTTTACAATTTTACAAATCACTTTTCTTAATAATATGATTGAGTATGCACGTAACTTTGTCAACATTTCTAAATTATACGGAGTTCATGAAAATTATACGGAGGTTTTGTGCATTAATAACTACTACATTTAACACATGGGGTTTGTGCAGTAGTTTTTTTTTTTTTGATAAAAAAACATTTATTCCTTGTCAAAATTATCTTGTATTTGCTCATTTCTATTTAGAGTTCCATTTAACTAATTTGTAACAGAAAATCTTAATTTAATTTGCAAGGCCTTCAATGTGTTGGTTAAAATGTCAATGATTTTTTTTTAAAATAATTCTGAGTTTGTACATGATAAAAGTATATTTTATCTTAATTTTATTCAAAACAACTTAACTTTATTTGCTCAGTAGACAAAATAAACGAACACAAGTTTTTTGTCTGTATATGTAATTTCGATTGAAAAACTAAATTGTTAATCTTATACTCATTTTGGTGACTTCTTACAAGTAATTTACATAGAATCTATTATTAGATTATGAGAAAATGGATGGAAATTATGGATGTGTAGAACTCCATAACAGGTTTTGGTTGCTAAATCTGGATAAATATGATTTGCAGAACTCCACCGAAAAACTGGTTTTGATAGCTAAATCTTGTGCCCCTCTTTTTGGTGAAGAATATGCCCAAGCAGCATCTGGTCCACCTTTTAGTGTTGCTATTCCTCTGCCTCCAGTCCCCTTTTTAGTTTTGCTATTCCTTTAGTAACTCATAAAATTGCAGAAAGCCAGTCAATTTTGCCTTTGGTTACAACTGATTTTGCTGATTCCCAAAGCACGAACCTAATTGTGCATTCTATTCCCTTTCAAACTGAAGCCCCCTAACTGATACTATTGCACAAAGCCAGGTTGTGTTGCCTTCGATTACAACTAATTGTTGCTGCAAGCAATGCTATTTCAGCCCCTATTTTGCATTATAATGATTACTAATATGCTGCCCCAACTGCTAACCTTAATGTGCCTCATAAACAAGAGGACAACCACGTTTCCCATATTGAAATTCATGCTATTAACTCTGAATGCTTGGTTGATTTCCCTAGTCCCCTCCCTTGGTGACCCTTGGTTGATTTCCCTCGTAACACACCACAACGAACGGAGATGATGAATTTAATTCTGATCCACCGGAACTTCATACTACACTAACCACAAATTTGTCAAACGTTGATGCTCAATCTGAGGACCACTCTATTTTTAATATTTACCCAATTACAGGAAAACCGGCAAGCGGGGAGGAATGCCCCGACGGTTTCGTGCAGGTTCAAAACATGAAATCAAAGAGCAATGCTTACAACAATTTTTCAGCTATACTTGGAATTCGAACAAGAAATTTCAATTGCTAACGTATCTTTATTTTATATGTACCTTTTCATTCAACTGTGTATCTTTAAAACTCTTGTTTATGTCTTTAAACTTTTATGAATAAAATTGCGAAGTGTTCCCCGACACTTCCCCCACCTAGATTGGTTTGCTCCGTATCCAAAAAAATATGAATGTGTACAAAATGTTGTAATACTATTTCTTATGTTTGCTTCCCCTTTTAAGAAATTTTGAAAACACAGACATTCATATCACGCACAAACAAAATAAACGAATACACAACCAATAATTATTGTCTATGCACAGACAGAGTAAATGAACAACAGACAATGTTTTAATCATGCACAGACAATATAAACAAAGACATACAATGTTTTGATTACACACAAACAAAATAAATGAACACACAGACAACACTTTAAAAAATGAAACCCTTTATGGGTGAATTTGCTTGATCAAGAGGAATTGTTTGGGCAGGGTGATAGAAATACGTAGAGAAAATCTTTAAGGTTGGTGGATTACATTTTAAATACACCACATGTTAAATTTCAAATAGCCTTTAAAAATATATTTTCATTTGTAAAGTGAATTGTCTGTCACACAGACAATAAATTGTTTACGACAGACAATTTTTTTGTCGATGTCACAGACAATTCAGTTTAAAAAACGAAAAATATTGTTTGTGCACAATCAAAACGTGATGTGTATATATCGTGTACATCTTAGAGCTTGCAACATATGAAAAGTAGTGATGGATGACAAAGATAACTAATTATTACATTTAATATGTTTTTGCAACATCAAATACATGGATAATATTTTAACCAAGTGTTTTTGTATAAGTTTTGTCTGTGTACAAATAACTTTTATATATGTTTTGTCTGTGTGTAGACAATTTCTATACAAGTTTTGTCTATATATAGATCATTTCTAAATAAATTTTACAGTGAACTATGTGAAATGTCTGTGATACAGACAACTAGTGTCTCGACACAGACAATAATCATAACACATTTCTAAGCGTGTTTGATAAGGTAGATTTCTTTTTTACATTGACAACTATTTTATAGACACAAACAATAGTTATCTAGAAACACATCACTATTGTCTGAGCACAAACAAAATAACTTGTTTCTAAGTATAATTGTTGAGATAAGTTACTTATTTTCACAAAATATAATTATTTAGACAAATAAAGATTAACTGTAACAAAATACCATAATGACAGTAAGATTATTCATTCATCATTTTAACTAACTTACAACATACACAAAAGATACATCTTTGAAAACACAAATCACTCCAAATACAATATCATTTTAAATGCAAAACAATAACTTTACAATATAAGTAATTGCAAGCATAAATCCTTTGTTGTCTTTTGGTTTGAAGCTGTCATTCTTGACTTCCATATTGCTTATTGTTGCCATCATTTGTTTT